AGGCATGTTATGCTAATCACTATGGCAATCAGTTATTTATCATTCTTGCAGACATGTATTTTCCATTTACGCTAACAGGGTGGTTGATTGGATTTTGTTCATTAAATGGGCAGAGTAAAAACTGGTCTTATAAACTGCTGTTCAAGTTAATTAGTGAGTATGAGTGTACTCAGAAGCAGAAAACTAAGTTTTCAAATTATAACCTACATCAATCAGGCATCTTTTCTACATTATACCAAAATAATTCCACTTAGTGTATTCAGCATAAAAGGGAAAGTAAAAATGCTGCATTTTCATTTCCCCTGTTCTCTGATGGTCTGGCAGTAAATGTGATGTAGTTACTCATAAAAGAGAAAGAACAGATACTTGCTTCTGCTCTGCTGTCTTACCTAAAACTCTTCTAGGCTCTGTCTTTCTTAAGAAACAGTGCAAGGATAGGGAGATCCTTAGTAGGATTTTGTGTTCATTCGTCTACAGTCTTTAGTTAATTATTAGCAGGTAACAGAGATGGCCTGCAAGCACTACCCTGAGGTTACAAGCTAATCAGTAATAATAAAACAGTAATGATTTAAAGGAAATGACTGGTGTAAATGCTATGCTTTGATTCTGGAGATCCAGTTTCAGCTCCTATATTTTATGTCCTTGTGGGAAGGATGGTTTCATTTGGTACGTTCACAAGTTTCCCATGCACACTTCTGAGTTTCCCTTTGTAAAACTGATGCAGAAGTGTTTTTTATTCTGTCTACTGCAAATAATTTAAAGATCCAGCTGGGGGGTCCACAGATCTCAAATACCTCTCTTCTTTCTAACTTGTATCCCATGTCTCAGAGTAGATTTGACTGCTGTGGCCTTCGGAATAGGGGTATTCTGTATTCTGAAATGGCATCTTTTCAATATTGGAGCTTTCTGTGTGAACAGTTATGTATTCATTGGACAGATAAACTGGGATATTTAATTTTTCATGTAAAGCACTTGGGTTCCACTGTTTCCAAACAGAAAGATAAGAGGTTTGGGAGTCAGTCTTTCACAGACCTTTGTAAAGCTTTGTCTATTGCATAGGGAAAAATAACAGGAAAGCAAGTTGGGGTGTGATAGCTTCCTACCCCATTGTCCACTTGTGTTCAAACTGAGAAGTCTTAGTCCTTTTAGCCTTTCCCCAGGGCGGCAGAGGTTGTAGATGATAACCTTGATTATTTTAACTGTCTTTCTCCTATGTCCTTTTGAGCTATGGAGACCTCAAGTGCAACACAGTACCAGTACTGTGACAAACCCAAAGTTCTGTCACGTAACTGTTGTTTCCTCTTGTTCTTATTAACCTTCCTGATGGGACCCAACTTTTACATTCTAGCAGCTGCTATGTGGTGATATGATGAGCCAGGAGTTTCTGACTGCCTTTGAGATTATTCTAAATCCCCTTTCCGGAGTTTCACCTGTCAGTTCCACATTCTCCATGAAGTTAGTATGGTTTAGATTTACTTCACCTGACTTTTATTGGCATTCAAACATACCCATTGCCTTTTTCCGCCCTCACTCTGTTTTGTGCAGTTCTGTTGGAGTGCTCTAATATAATCTGCCATTTAATTACCTGAAAGTGCTTAATATCATCATAATTTTGAGATTTAGGTGTCCAAAGGAGGTATAAGGTGTCCAGACACCTCTCATCTTACTTCTGAGCTCTGTAAACTTGGCAATGTCAACCACAAAACAGACAGAAAGCTTGTTGCTCCCTTTTCCTGGCTGGCATTCCTCCTCTATATAACCTTGCCAAGAGCCTTGTGAAAAGTTGTGGCAATACAGATCCTATTTTACTGAAATTTAAGAAATTATGGTGGGGGTGCAGGGGAACAGACTTCCCAACCCAATATCATCTGTATGGAGAGGGTTATGTGAGTCAATGTCATTTTTGGGTTTGGTTTGTTTACTGGTCTATACAAGAAGACCTTCTGGCTTTGGGGGCTTTCCCTGCTCCATATTCTTCTCTCCCTTTTTAGCTGTTTACAGTGTCTTAACAGTTGTACTCTGTGACTAGACGTAAGAAAGTGTTCAGCAGCAATTTAAGAATAGGAATGCCTCACCACCTTGCTGTTGTTCATGAAGGTAAATTTTTTCTTAGTGGAGGAAAGAGTTGTGGGAATAGCTCTGCCTTGAGCAGAGCATGTTTGCCAATATGCTGTCACACCATGGTTTAATGCACTGCAGATCTCTTGTGCTGAAGGACTTTCAGTATCGTAGCTCTTAGTAAATCAGAAACTTCCATGGAATGTGTAGGTCGAATAAAAAATGATCCAAAAGGAAAGACTGTCATTCTGCAGAGGAAACTTGCAGAGATCCAGCAGTATTCAAGCCATTAATGATCTAGAAATCTGATGTGGGGTTTGTTTCCTTTTTTGCCACTGCAAGCCTGTTTCTCATGCTGCAATAATACATTCAGCCAGCAACTTCGCAGCTTTATCTTCTGCATTTAATGGCCAAAGCTTTTGTGAAGAGCATTAAAGACTGATATTTTCCCTTATGGTTACTCTGGTTACTCAAATCCTTTTTTTTTAGTGAGAAATCTGTAGTGATAAAATTCCTTTCACTTCCCATTGAAAAGTGTGGGATTAGCTTCTATTTCCCTGAGAATGCCAGAAAGTGTAGACAGATAGCAACCTAACACAGTAGATTTTCAGATAGTAGTTTTTAGGGTAATCTTGTGCAATCATTCCCAGATTCAGAAAAATGCTTCCTCTGCTTTATGTCTGAAAGGGAAAAGTCTTATCCTTTCTGACAGCTTGTTGGAAAGCAAACAGTGCTCGGGCAAGAGGCTGGGTGAACTCCAGGTCATCCTTATGGGGAACTGTGCCCAAGGATTTCCCCTTCTTTTTGTCTCTCCTCTCCTGCACTCCCTATACACATGTACACTTCGGCACTTTGTCACAGGATAGGGCAGGGGGAAGAAGAGGCTGCCCACAGACTGTAGGACAGGGTGAAGTGCTACTTTTTCATCTCTGTAATGGGGCAGGAGAGACATTCTGTACTGCGTTCAGTACTGCAGGTGATTTGTATTTTCCTAATATGACTTAATGTAAATGTAATATAAGCAGAAAACATCAACAATTTGCTTTAGTCTTCTCCATGTTAGAAAAGAACTAATACCAGACATATGCATTACCTTTACTGATCATCTGACAGCCTATGCAATACCATCCGGTGGTCACAGCAGAGTGGGAATTCAGTGTTTTCACATAAATCACATGTGAAACTTGTAATTTGAACAAAAATATATATAAAATATCATCACCTAGAATAACTCCCACCGAAATAATGATGTATTTGGGTGTATATGTTACTCAAAAAAAAGAGATTGAGTTATACAAAACTAAGGAACTGACTTAAGGCTTCTGCTCTAAGTCAGTCACTACACATGGTGAAGTTTTTAAAGAATATCAGGGACATAATGTTTTAATATCCTGTCTTACAAAGTCCTTTTTGTAGAAAATAAGAGATGGTGTCATTATGAAATGGAAATGCTTGCTCAGCCAGGCATCAGAGCAGTGCAGCTTAGAGTAAAATTGTACTTGCTAAAGCTTTGACCCAGATATGCTTCAAATACTCTCAGTATCTTTTTATTCACATGTTCTGTTGTTGAAAGGAAATCGATACATTTTCCCCATCTTATTTTCTGAATGAAATAAAAATATGCTGAATACCTTTATTTGTGATTAACATGTATAGAGCCTGCCTTTGCTATTCATCTTGAGAACTCTATCTTTCAGGAAGACTCTCATGTATTTATTCTATATTTTTTAAAATGAAAAGAAAAAACATACCAAAAAGGAGGATATTTTTCACTAGCCAGACATATATATTTCATGATAATAAAAGATGAGCCAAGAGTATCACAGATTTCTTTATCAGTTTCTTCTGATGACCAAGTAGGTTTTTATACAAGCTGGGGTGCTTAGTTAGAAGTCTGACAACAGAAAAGGAGCTCTTGAAGGAAGAATAGCTGTACATCTAAACATCTGTGCCAGTGTGCTTAAGCAGTATAATGTAATAATGTACAAATTTTCATATATCTGATATTTCCAGTATATTTCAATATGCACACTTCTCCATGTCAGCAAAACCAGGTCATTACAGTTTTCTGTGACATTCAGAACTAATTTAATGCAAGTCCTGATATAATATGCTACGTAGGCCATATTCATTTTGTAATTGAAGTCTCAGTTCAAATGATGATGTGCCAATTTATTTTTATTTTCAAAATGGGCTTTTTGACTTCCTAATGTGTTGCAAAGTCATTCACCCCCATAAATATGCATTTTATAAAGAAGTGACTGGGGATTATTAAAATCACAAATAAAATAAACAAACAAAAAATATTTGTTATAATTGGCTCATCCATTATTATACTTTTTCACCACAATTTGATGTGTATTTTTGAAAGCTTTTTTGTTGTGATTTGTCACACAAAGTATTTCAAATGTAAGACAAAGCAACTCAGCATTTTAACTGAATATGAAATGGCTAGACCATGCTTATGTACCTGCACAGCCATGGGGTATTGGTAACACTTGAAAGAATGTCATAGACACCAGAGAGTTCCCAGGAACTATGTATTACATCAGTACATAGAGGATTGCCCTCGGTGGCTTCTTTGTAAAGCAGCTCTTTTTAATGATTTTGTTGTTGTTTTTTTCCTTCAGCGCAGACCTTTTTTCTCAGAAGCCGATTTGCAGACTTATTTTGCATTTTTTGTTAGGCAGAGTTTCATGTTGAGAGCTCCAGCCTTCTTGCACCTTCCTCTTATTTAATTATAAGAATAATATCAACACAGGGAAACCAGTGCATATGTGAAATTAGCAGGACGCCAAAAATTATGTAATTTTAATGGCTCCATTGTCCACATTCACTGTGCAGATACATGATTTTCTTGAAAGTTTTGTTATTGCTTCTGGAATCCAGAATATTTGTGTCACCCTGTCCTCTATGAATATAATTCAGGAGCTGACAGGAGATAAGATAAAAGTCAATAAAAAGAGAATTATTTATTAAAAAGATCTAATGTTACAAGAACAGTACACAGGAACTATTATATTACTGTGTCTTCCACATTGTATATACCATTATATATAGCATATATACAGATTGTATACAATATATCTAACATTTTTTTTATGGGCCATGACACTATGTTTTTTTTTAGTCTACGAAACAAAGTTTCTTTCTAATTATTTTTTTCCAAACAGATCTTGTGGAATTATACAAAAATACAGTCTCCTCAGTGACGCTAGACTGCACTATTACAATCTTTTACATGAAGAAGGAAAGAGCTTTCCTTTGCAACTAAAAAAAGGGTATGTCATGATAAAGAATCTTCTTCTACAAAGTAACAGATAGGTAATACATAGATACTTAAACATTTAAAACATGTTTATTAATATATTTAAGATGCAAAATACAGATTCTGTTGATGTTGAATATAAAACATACCCCTTTTTTGTCCCTGTAATACAACTACATTATCTGATGGTATGTTCAATATTTCTATCTGTATCCTGATACTAGAGAACGAGATAGATATGTCTAGATGCAGCTCTATCTCATCAGACTTTTGTTCTCCATATAAAGCGTAGCCATTTATTGTATTCAGAAAGCTGTTAAATCAAAATGCCACCATCAGTGACTAACATTTTTGAATACTCTGAAATAAACTGCATTGGCAAGCAACTGTATAAAAAATAGAGGAAATTATGCTTAACTAATTTATAAAATAGCCATTTTGATTTTTGGTTCATCACTTTATTCTTGTTTATTTTAACGTTTTGAAAAATCATGGTTTGCTGATGCAAGTTCTTTGCACAGTAGCAGTGCTGCTACTTTACAAGTGACAGCAGGTGGGTATTTTCTATGAGTTTGCTCAAGGTACATTCCACGTTCCTTTCTTTGATCTCAAAGGCTTTTCCAGAAGCAGAGATGCAGAAGGTCCCCTTTTGTCTCTATCTATAGTCTTTGCTCAGCTATTTGTCCTGCCTTTGTTTTCCTAGCAATGTGGTGATTAAGTAAGTTTAAAACCTATTTTTTTTAGAAAATTATTTAAAATATTAGTGGGTAATAAAGATTTGAGTTGAACCATCTCTGAAAAATTTTACTGATAAAATACTCAAAAGAAAAAAGATCAGTCAGCTTTTTACCTACCAAGCACTCAATCTGAGTTGTGCCTTCTTAGCTACTATTTTAAAGCTGCTAAGAAAGGGCACAGTTAGAGAATTTTAGACCCAGAACCCATCAACCCAAATAGATTTGCTTCAAAACTTTTGGAGGGATGGACAGCCGGTAGAACTATGCCGTTAGGACATGCTTGTTGAACAATTTTGACTTGCTTTTTCCAAGGCAAGGGAATGTTCATCCTAGGCATGATCTCTAGATACATGGTGGTAAAACACCCTCCCTCATAACACTGTGCACACCACCATAGCTGTACAAACTCACATGCCACATATCCTGGGGATTATTTTGATTCAGGTGCCAATATGTGAAAAGGTCTTCCAATGTAGAAAAATTGTCCATGTCGTCTACCAAGTGAAAAATTGGTACAGCAAAAAGTGGGGATTAAAACTGACAGCGCAAAGTCACTACAAGAGTAATATCTAGTGAGCTACAGAAATAGAGCCAATTAGCTAAATAACTGGAATGATGCCCAGTAGCACTTAGCCAAGTATTTTTTTCGAACACAGCATTCTCCAATATATATCCTACTTGAGTCTGTATATATGTGAATGATTACATTTCAAACAATGTTAATATTCTCTCCATAATATGCTTTCATACATACTTCAACTTGATTATCAAATACATAAAGCACAGAATGTTACTAAAAATGGACCCAGAGGAAAACAAAAAGTTACAACTGAGAAGCGGTTGGAAAAAGTAGGTTTATCTCCTTGCATTGCTTTATTTGTGTTCTTAGCAGCCTAATGTTTAAATTCCCAGTGTTTTCATTGTCATATGCATTATGAATTTTTATTGGCTATTGAAAATAAATATTTGATTCATTTAACATCAAATCATATGGGATTTGATAAAAACCAGACTGTTTCTGTTTAATCATTTTCCATTTATCTTGCAATAAAATAAATGGCTTTTCTGCTCCATTTTGTTACTTTCTGGGTGTGCTGTCTAGTATTTTTTGAGATTCTTTTTATTAATTAAATACATAACCATACACAATTTTTATTAAATAGATAATCAACAAATTCTTTCTACTTTTGCAGTGGTCTGTGTATCTAAACTATTATTTTTCTCTAATCAGTAGGAACTACCAGCCATAGGTGATGCAAGAAAAGTATTTGACAAAGCTGTATCAAACTGTGTTCTATGTTTTAAAAAGTTTTTTTTTCCAAACCAAACAGATGTACTGTACTAGACACCACTAATGATACATGACTGGGGTCACCAAAATAGAGCGTATTAAAAAAGTAAAGTACCTTTGACAGAAATTATCTTTGCTTACAAAAGTTTATTACATACAATCTGCATATTTTTGGGCCAAGAAGTGTCCCCTCCCCAGAGGACTTTTACAAATAAAGAAGAGAAAAAAACCTGATGAATTATTGACCGTGTCTCCAACGCTCCTCTAAGTGCACCACAGGCTTTTCTATGGGTCTTTAAGCATTAGCTTGGGTTTCCAGTTACTCCACAGACATAAAACTCCATCCCTTGGTGTCATCAAGGTAAAGCAAAAAAATAACAACAACAACAAAATCTGCAGTCTTCACCATGAAGCTGAAGGAACCATCAATGCCAAAATCAGTGTTACCGAGGATGAGGAAGTAGACAACACATGTAAGGTGGATTGAGCACTTGTTACTTTCCCTCCTAAAATTAAAAGTGAAGGAACAATGAATAGGACGTTCCAAAACGGTATGTGATTTTATGCCTTAATCCTCAAAAAGTATTAGACTGCATAAGATGCCCTGAGTCACAAACACAAATCTTCCTGGAACAAAGAATCAAAGCTAGCCCTTGATCTTGATGTTTATCCAGAGGAAAATGTGGTCTTTTGCTCAGCCCAGTGATGTTATTAGATCATAACAGTCCTTTAAAAAGCCATTCTAATGGTAATTGTGCTATGGGCTGGTGCTGGCAACAGATTGCAGGGAAGGGAACCAGACTACGTTTCTTTGGACAACAGTTGTTCCAAGTGGAAGTGATCTGTTGTGTGTAATCTAATCAAAAATACCAGGTTAGAGGGAATGAAAGGTTTTGCGTCCTAGAATTATGGCTCAAAAGATATATGAAACCATGAAACTCCATATTCCATGGAGGAAGGATTGGTGCCTTCTGCATTCTGATGATAGCCCTGCATCTAGTTTGTGACTAGAGTAGAGCTGAAATTTAGGTGAAGATTGAAGTTTCAGGCTCACACTTTTTGGATAGTTGTCCTTAAGGACTCCTAAAAAGCAATGTTTGGTAGAATTTTAAAGTGTTAGCAGAAAGTTAGAATTAAGATGCTTCGCTATGTTTAGGCAAAAGACAGTGTTATTTTCTGGTTCTTGCCACTAGTCCTTCCATCCCTTTCTTACCTGTATAATACTGATACTTTAAATTCTTTCAGTATATTGCAGTAACTGAGGAAATAGAAGCTAGACATCATAATTAACATCATAATAATACCTTAATAATTTAATAAAATAATATCTACTCAATTGAGTCAGTGGAACCTATAGAGAAATTCAGCTTATTCTAAAGCAGGCTAACTAAATGCATGCCATTTTAGCTGTGTTAAATAGTACACCTCTGGCCTCTGACTAGTGGTCCAGAATGATATGTGTATCCTTTAAGTCTCACATAGTATCTGCCAGTTCTGTGCAAATGTTTGGGATACCATAGGGTGTCCTGATGTGCCTCTGTCCAACTATTTAAATTCAGAAGATCAGCTGAATTGTTGTCTAGGCTCCACTGTTGGTCTGTATGGATTACATCTCAGCTGACTATAATGCTATTTGAGACACCTAGTACATGTGCAGACATCTACAGCTCTGTTTGGTTTGTAGATGTTATCCTAGAAAGAGAGAAGTTTCCTGTAAATCCTCTGCTTTGTTTATCAGCCCCACATGAATGCCTCAGATGCTCTTGAGCATTTGAAATGGCACTAGATGCTTTTGTTTCAGCATAGAGCTGAAGACTGATTAATGATTTCATCTAATAGCTAGAGAATTGTGAGAATGTTTTTTGATTTTTGGGTGGTTGTTAGTTTTTCTTTTTTTCAGGTAGAGAATAATAGAATTAATAAGCATTGCTATAATCACCACTCCTCCTAATATAAGTGTAGCCTTACCTGCAAGAGATGGAACTCTGATCTGGGGACTTGCAGTCCCATCTCCTCCTTCACTGACAGCACAGACCTCAATGATGTAGACACCAACATCGGGAAGAAGCACCACTGCAGAGGTTTTCTGTGTTTCTATAACTTGACTGTTGCTCTGGCCTTCTTGCCTAAATAATACCTATGTCAATAAAGTAGATGGTTATAATGGTCTTTTGAGTTATATCCCAGACATTTTGTGTAGATAGCGCAGTCAGTGAAATGTGAACTGTTTCATGATTTCATTAAAGTTTTCTTGACAACAGCCATGTGCTGTTCTTCCCTCTCCCCAATGATTTCAAAACATTAATAGCAAAGTATATTATCAATTAATGAATGTGAAAGGACATTGATTATGACCCAGACCAAAGATACAGCATTTGCCCTCTCCAACATTAGGTGTTTCACATGGTTTTCTAAAATATTTCTTCAAAATGCATTTGGGGTTCTGATTCAAATTCTTATCCCCAAGCTCAAGTAGGTATTTGTGGTTTTGGCTTAAGAATCCAACTTTAAATGTAAAGAAAATGCCAGAAATAATGTCCTTACTGTGTTTACCTTGGCTAAGTTAGCTGAGATTAGCTCAGATCTGTCCCTGCATCTCCTGTGAAACTCAGTGCAAGCTTATAGCACATGGGAGGAAAGCAGGTGAGTATATGCCTGTCTTTTTGGTTCTGTGTAAGTTTCTGTTCCCAGGCAATACTGAAAAGGTCAGAGGGGTGTAAAAAATCCAAAGCAGTCAACTTTTCAGAATCTTAACTATTCATAACTTTTTCAGAATCTCAACTATTCCGATAAAGGTTAGAGCAGCTTCTGGTTTATGTGAACTATTTTACACTTTCTTGTTGATACTTTCTGATGTATCAGAGGGAATGTCAAACTGTAGTCTATAGAAAGGATTGTATATATGCTTCAACTTCTCACCCCCCCAAAAAATTCAAAATCATTCTGCTGTGATTTAAAAGATTAAAGTGAATTTCGTTGTTTATTATTATTTGATATTTAAGAGCTAATCTGGATTTTACTCTTTAAAACTTCAAAACTTTAAATGCCAGATGTTACCATCCAAATTGTTGAACACCACCAACATGATCACAAAACAAATTGAATTATTTGTGTTTCTGCTCTATAAAAATATTAATTTTAATGTCATTTTAATATGCCTTATTCTTTCGCATTTCTCTAAATCCTACTGCAAACACAGTTAAATTGAAGTGTTAGTAGGAATTTCATTGCAGGCTGGTCTTATTAATAGCCACTTCTGAGTCAGATATGATGATCTGACCCTTTCAGATAGAGTTTACTCAGTTTATAATCACTAGTTGAAAATCACAACACAGAAAATGTTGGGACAATTTGCTCTTTTCAGTTTTATTTATTGCTTTTCATGGTGAAAACTGATTGCAGACAGTCTGTATAACCTACTTGATTTACAGAGAGAAACAAGAAAGAGGTAAAAAGCCAACAAGGAAGAGGAATTTTTGGAAGAGAGAAAGGTGAGCAAGGGAGGGAAGCACTGACCTTATATCCCTTTACATCAGATTCATTAGCTAGAGATTTGACTGGCTCCCACCCAAGAGAAACATGAGAGCCTTCCTGTATCCACATAACATTGCCTGGTGCTTGGCTGGGAGCTGAGAAGAAAAAAATAGCACGTACATAAATACATTTTATAGGTAATTTCTTGAAAATCAAAATAAACTACCTATTAATGTAACATATATGTAACATATAATGTAATCTTTCATTACGTTTACAACTGGTTGTGTTAGGAAGGTCCCAGCTCTAGCAAGAATACTTAATGATTTTTTTTTTGGTATCATAATTGTCATTTAATAGATTGTGGTGTATCTACTCTGCCCATCCCATAACCTCTGTGGAGCTTATGAACTTGAACTCTTTGCCCTTCCGTCTTTATGAAAAATGCCTTGTTTTCTATGAATATAAACTTTTTTATGAATGCAAAGTCATTTGAATTTATGTCTAAATATCAAAGCAAAGCCATGAATCATTCCTGATTATTATTCACTCTTACTAAAGAAAAAAAAACAACTTATATAGACCCTTATTAAAGGAAAACTTAAGAGGGCAGAGGTTGATCCCTGACTTCTCCCTTTGAGCAAAGGTACTGAGATCACTTACGGGACTTCTTGGTTGCTGCCTGCACAGCAGTGCTAGGTGGTCCATACCCTGCAGCATTGTACGCCCTCACTGTTAGATGATATAATGTGTTTCCTTCTAATCCTGTCAGTAGAATGGATGACTCATTTCCCTCAGTTTTGACCTTTTCTGCTGCTTCTTCCTGCTCCATGTCCTTCCAGTAACCAACCTGCCAACAAGGAACCAAATGAAGGGTTAATATAGGCACCTGGGAAGGGCCAGATGCTTGTACTTGTCCTGTGGAGAGTCATTTTGCCATTTATGATTTTTGTCTGATCATAAGGCCCTTTTTAAACCTGTGGGATTTGCAGCCTAACCTCAGAGCCAAGCAAAGCTTACATCTCCAAAATGGCAAGACTCAGAATATCACAGTATTACCTGAAGCTCATTGAATTGCTGTGCACTGGCACGAGAACATCTAAGTAAAGTCAGAAAAGATGAACATTTCAGAGAATTCATGGAAAGCTCAACCTCTGCTATGTCACCAGAATATCTATGTTTACCCTGGAAAGCTGTGACCACACCAGTTAAGAAATGTTGTGAGCAATATTCCTTTCCTGGTCTTTTTGCAACTGAGAGCCATGAGATTTCCTATCAGCGTAATGAATAGGAAGTGACAGAACACCAAAGGGAATCTTTCATTCATCTGAAAAATCTTATATGAAGAAAAAAGAAGGAAGTGGATTCAGTTTTAGTTCTTGAATAGAAACAGGTTTCAAAACTTGTGTTTCAAAACACGATTTTGATATTTTTATGCCCTTCCTTTTCAGGCATAAACCCCCTATAAATGATCTTTGGTGGTTCTTAGTCCATATTTCTGATACCTGCACTCATAATCTCAAAGAGGGTATAGACCTGAGCTAGGAATTTGACTAGTCTCTTTCCTCAGGGACCAGGTATTTGCAGGGCATAACTGGAAAAAAGCAGTGCTGTATCTTTTTAATGTATCTAGGTGACATACTCAAGTAAGGTAGTTCTCATGGGGCCCTATCTTCCTTAACAGGAGATGTCACTAATGTACCATTCAAAGACCTCTATTCAGCTTACCATTATTCATACTGAGACCTGCTTGCATTTATTCCACATTTTGACCTTTTCTGTGAAGTTGCTTATTTCATAATAAGTTATTCATATTATATCTGGATTACTTTTCCACTGAGAAAAAGGTCATGGACAATAGAGCACTCCTGCAAATGTATCTCCCCAAAAATGGCAAACCTTAAAAACCAAGGGGTTCATAGGGAAATAAGATCAATGAGTACTATGCTGACCTTTTATAATTACACTAGGACTTCTATTAATAAAAAATAAAATCTAGAAAGACCTGGCTGCAAAAAAATACACATTTGAGGTCATATATTCACTTGAATAAAGTGGCTTTGTTAATTTTGATCGACGGTATATCAGTTTGTGCTAATTCAAAGTCTACTCTTTCAGTTGTAAAATTCATATAGGTATCTGTCTTTTTGTGCGTGTGTGCCTGCATTATCTCATGTTTAAATGCGGTTGCTTTAATACTTAGATTAAGTACAGCTCAGACAACTAATCTATCTATCTATAGTCACCACTTGTTGAAATGTATAATTCACTGCTGTATTTAGCTAGCTGAAAGATTGACCAACCCTACTGGTATCTGAAGTAATACCTAGTTACAGCTTTCTTGAAAGGAAAAAAGAATGAACAACCATTTATTCACACACTAGGACTGAATGCTTATTATCTCTTGATTGGTCAGATTCTTTTCATTTTACTTGCAATTCATCTTTACAAACTTAACACTACATTGATGAGAGCCACGTGTACAAACAGGTAGTGAGAGACAAAGTGAGGTGTCCTGGAGACCCTATCATCCATTAACTGAAGTCTGCTGAGGATCCAATGGGGAGGTAGTCAGAAAGGAAAAGATACTTGCCCAGGGTTTCACAGGGGGACAGTAGCAGGGATGGAAATGTAACTAAAGTAGTGAAATGCTGGTTCTAGAAAGCCAGAAGCACAGCTGTAGGTAGCTTAATAGGTCTCATTATTTATTCACAGGGCACACCATGTCTCATGTGAATGCAATGTACAACACAGTAGATAATCCCCAGCTTTTGCATGGAAGCTTATTTGCATAAAGAAGTTGTGAAAAACTGATTCTCCAAATATTGGTGTTAGGACTATATAGGTATTAAAGCCTGATGAGAGTGGAAAAAAACATAACTCAGCCCTCTTGATATTTCTCTCCCATTTGGAAATGCACTGCACCACTGTTTATATGGCATACTAATATACTAATTATATTTTGCACATGTTAAATCTGCAAAAATAACCATGTGATATTCCCGACCAGTTCTGCTGTACCACATGGCAAAGGGATATTCTTAGGGGAATTGATACATGGTATCAAGCACTAAAAGCATGAAATGCAATTAGTCAATGCTTCTATTTCAATTTCTTCTGTACTTCAAAGCCCTTACATGTTTGGTCCCTGCTTTTAAAAATCCTCTTAAAGTTTTGCCAGGTGAGTTTGGACTTTGATCTTAAAATATGCATTTCCCTTTCTTTCATAACGCAACATCCATTTGTTGCATGGACTAAAGGAAAAACTGGTTATTAAAAAAGAACTCAGATAACTGTTGACTGAGGTCAATGGTGGGGGAACTTTGAGCTGGAGAGAAATCAATAGTGTTTAAACAACTGACTAGAGGAGATGCGGGAATGTGCAGCCTGCTTTGTCTTAACTGTGGGTTAAGCAATTGTTAAATCATCATGTTAAAAATTTGTTTCTGTGTAAAATTTTTCTGCCTATAATGTTTACAGACCACACCCCTGAAGTTTTAGGTTAAACGGTATCTTACTAATTTTAATTACTCTTCTCTTAAACTGGTTCCTAGGGTATGCATACTTTGATATAAATTAGTGATCTAATTGCAGGCCCTCTTCTCTAAATTCAGTAAAGTCGGAGTTATTCTCTGGATACTCTTCTGTTGACTACAGAGAATTAAAGCTACAACTTGAGCATATCAAATAAAAGCCTAAATTAGGTAGGCTGAACAGGACTGGACACAAACTTTCCTGTGCTCTCCAACTGAGTATTTACCAACATCAACAGTACTGACATAACTGAAAATGAACTCAAAGAGATCTCAGAGTACTGAAAATGCCAGGGGAGAAAGTGCGGTGAGATCAAAGAACTGCTACTAGCCCCGTAAAAAACCTCACCATGATTCAGATTTCATAAAAACTATTTTAAATATCATTATCACAAAACTGCCTTGAACTGGTACATGAATTCATTTATATGTTAGTGCAGCAGGAGAACCAAGCACTTAGGACAGCAGAAGAGGTACTTTTCATGTCATATCAAGACACTGGTGTGACAAGGTGACAGGTTCCTGCAAAAAAGTCTATAAATCAACCTCAGTTCCTTCCCTCTCACCAAAACAACTGTTGACTGAAAGAAGAAAGAAAACTGTTCAATACTCCTAGGTTCTGGAGTATTCTCTGGAGTAACTTAAATTCTCCATCGCTTTTCTCAGGTACTCTTTTCTACCACATCGTCCTGCATACACATGGAATGAAAATTGATACTGTACCTCAACCTTGAGGACTATGACAAATATCTAATCATATTTTCTTATAAAAAATCAATAATTATCTACATTCCTGATTTTAGGTAAGCTAGTAGTCTTGTAACAAACTATTTGCGGTAGAGAAGTTGCAAATGATATGGTTCTCTTGAGGCTCACATTACAGATGTAGGGAGTGATCCGTACCTTCAAGACTTAAAAAACAGTAGTACTGCTCTCCTATAAACTCTTTGTTCTAGTCTTCAGGGTTTTAGAAGGGTTTGAATCAGCATAAGAGTAACTCTGTAGGCAAAACTGACTTATACATAGAACTGCTCAATTGCTAATTTATTCTTTGGGAAAATTCATTAATTCCAAAAGTGAAGTCTTGTAAATTGCTATTCAGGCTGATGGAACACCAGTTCTTCTTTTTTCCATCTTGTTTTTCCAGCCTCTGGAAGAAACATCAATATGTTCTTTCTAAACTACTTCAACGTATACTTCACTAATTGAAAAACCTCATCATATTTGAAAGATCACATGAGTCAGGTGAAGTTCCCAACGACTGGAAAAAGGGAAATATAACCCCCATTTTCAAGAAGGGGAAAATGGATGACCAGTCAGTCTCACCTCTGTGCGTGGCAAAATCTTGGAGCAGATTCTCCTGGAAGGCATGCTAAGGCACATGAAAAACAAGGTGGTTGGTGACAGCCAGCATGGCTTCACTAAGTGGAAATCCTGCCTGACCAATTTGGTGGCCTTCTATAATGGGACTAGGGAAATGATGAATAGGGGTAGAGCAGTTGTCCTGGGTTCAGCAGTAGCAGTCATTTTTTCTCTTTCTTAGTAGCTGGTGCAGTGCTGTGTTTTTGACTTTCGGCCAGGGAACAGCTCTGATAACACCGATGTTTCTAGTTACTGCTCAAATGTTTAGTCTGACCAACCACTTTGTGAGCCTCATGATCTGCCAGGGAGGAGGGGAAGCCGGGACGAAGCAGAGACAGGACACTTGACCCAAACTAGCCAAAGAAGTATTCCATACCACAGCACGTCATGCCCAGGATGTAACTGGGAGTTACCAGGAAGGGCTGGTGCACTGCAGGGTTGGACTAGGTATTTGTTGCTGCTCAGTCGGGCTGGATATTATCGGTCGGCGGGTGGTATTTTATTTTTTTCCCTTATTATTTCCTTTATCATTATTATTATTGGTGGTAGCAGTAGTGATTTGTGTTATACCTTAGTTACTAAACTGTTCTTATTTCAACCCGTGGGAGTTGCATTCTTTTGAAACCCTAACCCTAACCCTAACTCTAACCCTAACCCTCCCCATCCCTCTGAGCAGGGGGAGGGCAAGGCAGGGGGGAGGGGGGGAGAGAGAGAGACTCCATGGCTAAGTTTTAAACCACGACAGTCATCTACCTGGACTTGTGCAAAGCATTCGACACTGTTCCACATGGCGTCCTTGTCTCTAAATTGGAGAGACATCAATTTGTTGGATGGACCACTCGGTGGATAAAGAACTGGCTGGATGGCCGCACGCAAAGAGTTGTGGTCAATGGCTCAATGTCCGGCTGGAGACCAGTAACGAGTGGTGTCCCTCAGGGATCGGTGTTGGGACCTGTTTTGTTCAACATCTTTGTTGCTGACATGGACAGTGGGATTGAATGCGCCCTCAGCAAGTTTGCCAATGACACCAAGCTGTGTGGTTTGGTTGATACACTGGAGGGAATGAATGCCATCTAGAGGGGCCTTGACACACTTGTGAGGTGGGCTGATGCCAACCTCATGAAGTTTAACCATGCCAAGTGCAAGGTCCTACAGCTGGGTCAGAGCAATCCCAGGCACAGCTACAGGTTGGGCAGAGAAGAGATTCAGAGCAGCCCTGCAGAGAAGGACTTGGTCTATGAGAAAATGAACATGAGCTGGCTTCAGTGTGCTCTTGCAGCCCAGAAAGCCAACCATATCCTGGGCTGCATCAAAAGCAGCGTGACCAGCAGGTCGAAGGAGGTGATCCTGCCCCTCTACTCTGCTCTCGTGAGACATCACTTGGAGTTTTGTGTGCAGTTCTGGTGTCCTCAACATAAAAATGACATAGAACTGTTGGAACAAGTCCAGAGGAGGGCCCCGAGGATGATCAGCGGACTGGAGCATCTCCCGTATGAAGACAGGCTGAGAAAGTTGGGGCTGTTCATCCTGGAGAAGGGAAGGCTGCATGGAGACCTCATAGCAGCCTTCCAGTATCTGAAGGGGGCCTAGGAGGATGCTGGGGAGGGACTCTTCATTAGGACAAGGGGTAACGGGTTAAAATTTAAACAGAATAAGGAAGAAGTTCTTTCTTGTAACGGTGGTGAGTCACTGGAATGCATTGCCCAGGGAAGTTGTGAATGCTCCATCCCTGGTGGTGTTCCAGGCCTGTTTGGACAAAGCCTTGGGTGGCATGGTTTAGTGTGAGGTGTCCCTGTCTATAGCAGGGGGGTTGGAACTTGATGATCTTAAGGTCCTTTCCAACCCTAACTATTCTATGATTCTATGAAAACAAAACAAACCCACACCAAAATTCCAGTAGACGTATCTTTCTCTTCCAGTGTAAAATATACAACATATATCTAAGAAACAGCAAAAAACTTGAATATTTCTCTTTGAAAAAGCAGAATATGATATAAACAAATTATTATGTCAAGTAATCCTCTCTGAAAGTGGCATTCAAGATTTTCTACTTTTCAAAATTTTTTGTTGCAACTTGATCTTTTGATTAGGTGAGTCAAGCTCATATGCCTTGGGGGAGTTCCACTGAAAAAGACATGAGCTTTGTGATGTATACTTAAGTATTAGCCTTGGTTTTCTGGAAAAGAAAAAAGAAAAGAAAAAGACCTTGTCTTCCAGCCAGGAGTTTTTTCTCTTTCCCTTCTCTACCAGTATGAGTGACAAAGAAAATATTGCCTAGGGCTAAAACAGATTTTATAACCTTCAGGTTATGGATCCTAAACTTTAAGTATGAAATACACACTGCATTTTTCTAGTATTCTGACAAAGTTTTCAAGCCACTTCTACTTTATCAGAGTGTAGCTAGCATATATTTAGTAAGGCTGGGCAGACAGCTGACAAACCTGTACTAAAGTCAGGAATAATACGTGCTTTGGAAGATGCAAAGGAGAACAGGAAACCTTGCATAAAACTCATGTGACATAACAGTTAACATCGCCTTTCAGGGATGACAACATGAAATTGGTTAAGTTACTTTGCCTTTCATTACTCCTTAGCACAAAGTGCAAACAGGGCTGGAGTGAAAGTGGGTCACTGTGAACTTGTCCATATGTAGTAAATATTCTGTCACTTTTGCTGATTAGAGCCCAAACATTCAAATGGTAAAAAAAAATATGCCCCCACCCTCCCTTTTATACTGCTGTTGCTAAAAGGCCAGGAAATGTGAAGACCATGTAGGAGGTTGTCACTGCTGTAGTGACCACAGGCAGAATACAAATTGAGACGTGAAAACAGAGTGGCTAGTCAGATTATTTTTCATTCAATTTGAATCTAAGGCAAGATTTTGCTTGCAGTCCACAATAGGATATGATTGTTAAAATAAAATTCACTCATCTTTTTATCGAAGTCTCTGTATTTCTGTATGTTATTTATTTGCTATTTATAGATTAAGGGAGTATTTCAAGCTATTTTATGCACTGTTCCACATATGATAAACTTTCATAATCAGTTTTTGAATTAAAATAGTGTTCACAGAAGCTGAAGAAAGAAAATTGTATGGAAAGCATAAAACTTGTTCTTTGGGGGAGGCAATTTAACCCCAGTTCTCACTATACAAGGTCCTTCCTTTCTGCCCTGAGAGCGTGCTTTAAAGAGAAACTGTCAGTATGTTAGCAAAATTTGTCTCACAGTGTGGACTTAGTGTTCCTAAGTGAATACTGTAACAAACTGACTCACTATACTGATCCTGTAAGTCGCTATCTCCTTTTTCTTGCAATCCTCCCAAAAAATGGAACTAAAAAGATCTAGCAATACTGTCCTCAGATGGTGTTCTGTCCTGTTGAATGATGCAGAAGAGCAGCATTTACCTTTTTTTTAAATTGAGTAAGGGTTGCTCTGTTCATAATTCTTCCTGGGAATGAGGACAGAGAAGAGCAAACTACTTCCTGAAAAATCTGTCTGTCAGAAAGCAGGCAGAGAAATTCTGGCTAAATGAACAAAGAGGGAAAACGTGGGGCAGGGGAGAAAGCACCCTCCTCTCCCAGATAAAATTAGTACCTCTGAAGGCTCAATACACTCATGGACAAGGTAGAAAGGAAGTGTTCTTCTATATATATTTCATTTTTTGTTCTGTCAACTGCAGGTCCCTGGCTTGAAGTATTTATTCTGTAATCTTCATGCTAAAATCCTAAAATTGGTGTACAGCAAGGTTCAATGTTAATAACCCCTGCTGTATCAATAACAATTTCCAATTTCAAATCTAAGAAGTCCATGAGAGACACAGAGACAACAGATACTGTTGGTGTCAGAGTATGCTGAACTCCAAAGGTTTAAACACTTTCCAAATCAGGAAGACCACCTTTGATAGAAAGACAGTAAATCTGGGCAGCAATATGGGAACATCTAAGTATAAGAGGCTACTGCAACCAGGTTAAAAAATGCTGACTGTGTCTAAACTGTGGGCAAATGTACTTTCCTGGTCATGACTGTCCAGCCTGAGGGTGTGCTGGAGATCGTGGTGACTGATGCTGCCCAAGCACCTACATTTCCTTCCTAAGGCCATAAGTGATGGTCATCAGCCCCAGCTCTTGTCCAGACATGCTGCAAGGGAGACACTCCACGCTAGTAGGTCACAAGGCATCTTCAAACATTCATTTGATTGGTATCTGCCACAGAGCTACACATTTATCTTATCATTGTTACTATAGAGAATCAGGAAAGAGTCAGCACTCTCTAAGGGACTAAAGCAAGTCAAACAACCTGCACCCCAAAATCAGTAAATTGAGTCTAGCTGAGATACTTCATGAGAATCAGACAGCCTGAACCACAAGGTCAGGATGGGTTGTAGTGGCCCCAAAGTATAGCTTTAGTCCTAAATATGATCTGTTCCTGGAGGTTTGGATTGTAAATTGAATCCAAAGCTACAAATGGATCCAAAAGTGTGAGGAAGTCCACTGCCATGACGGGTTCTCTTTTCCCATCTCAGGAAGAGCTGTCTGCTAGTAAGCTTTATTGAGCTTGAGCTTGAGTGTGGCAGCTGCTTCCCATCCTGACGTTGACCTCTTATGATCTGCCCAGCAGATGCCCTCCATCCCCTGCGGCATGAGAGCACATGGATGGCAGAGGTTCTTTCCTTGCTCTGTGTCGACTGCCCTCAGTAAATAACAAGTTTGAACTGGTCACTTAGAGATGGAAACAGTCAATACCTAATCTTCCCAGCCTGAGGGGAAGATTACCCAGATACCCAGAAAGAGGTATGCCGGGTCACTTGAAGTTCTTTCTGCTCTTTCTGAAGTATCAAAGAGATGTTATAAGAACTGGTGTTGAACAGTTTTCAAGCACAAATAAATAAAATATGTTCTGGCGCTACAGCTGTGACCGATGTTCTACAGCTAGTCATATGTATGCTAAACTGAGCATAATTTCTATTGAAGTTTCACTACTGCACATGTTAACAGACTGCAACGTTAGCAAAAGCAACAAGACTTCTCATTATGATATTCTGTGTTCATACCTCAAATCCCTGTGGTCTTCCTAGACTTTCTTTAATATGTTTCCACGCAACAAGAATCTCTGATACAGACAAACTTGTAGCTGTGACATCGATGGGAGCAGCAGTGGGTTCTGTATTAAGAAAAATTGAAACAATAAACCTCCACTGTAACAGCTTGTATTTATCAAAACCACTCCATCTGAAACTGTCATTTACTTACTTTATTCTACCTTAATACTCACAAGAAGATATGACACTTACGGGGAACATGAAAAAGTGAACAAGATTAAGAGATTATTATTGTTGTATTTCTTTATTTGTGTCATGCTACATCAGGATCTCATCAGTGATAACGGGTACAGCAAACTGACAGAGTCAGTTGCCTATGATTTAAAAAAAACCAAACCCTTAATATCTGTAGATGCCCCTCCCTCCACACACCCGTTTCATAGCCCTTGATCAGCCTAACTTCAGCAGTAAATGGAACATTCATTTTCTGTCTTTTTAGTGCAATTCTGTCAGCTCAGGATGAGCAATACCTTGCTAGGGTGCTCAGTCAGTCCTGCTCCAGGGTTATACTGAGTCAGAAGTGACACCCAGAGATGTAGTGAAAAAGGAGTTTTTAAGAGTACATTATTATGACCTTGAAGTCACAGGCAATAGTGTTTGGGGCATGCCATCTTCTCTCTGCTGTGAAGCATTTACTGGTTTAGGTGTGGGATGCACACTTTTCTAAGCAAGGTGTTAGGATTTGTACCTCTGATTACCTTTGTTGTTACCATTGTCCTTATGTCCATGTTTCTATCTCCATGATATTCATAGGACACTCTGCAGTCCTGACCTCCTGCTTATCTGTACCAGAGGACCCTCCCTACCCGCCAGCCAGGGCATGTGTCCGTCAGGTATGTCCAGGGTGCACACTGGAGGCTTAGGGCTGCAGAATGCTTTCAGTATCACACCTGCCCAGCAGTACTGCCAAAGGCACATTTTACTGTCATATCTCTGAACATTTTACAGAGGTCCAACCTTTTTCAGTGGCTAGAAAGTTGGGTAAATGTATACAGAGATTGGCCATGACAGGCCATTGGGAATACCACGAGTTAGAGCATTGGGAGTGAAGAGAGTCCGAAAATTGTCACATATAAAACTCTGACACAAGGAAATCTTTTGAATCTTTTGCTTTATTACCTAAATATTACTGAAAATTTCCTCAAGTCAATTTGTGAGACAGGACTTGAACACAGACAGTGGAGCACACAATAGCAGCATTTCTCCACCGGTCTGGTGTATTTCACTTGCTCAGCAAAAATCTGAGTTCACATTCCCCTGCAGTCACAGAACCTGTGATTTCTTCCTAAGCCTAATGTTCCTCACTACATTTCCAATGTGTTGATCTGCTCTTGAAGGGCAGGCACAGGTCTTGGCTTTTATGATATAAGGAAGCATATCAAAGAGCTTTGTAAAAAAAAATTTTTTGGGGGGGCTCATTTAACAGGGTTGCAGTAAAAGAGTTTCCTTACAGAACAGCCCTAGTTAAAATGACACATTTTTCTTAGTGATCAAACTGCCTTTGAGTAAGATGCTCAAGATCAGTTTTGACTCATTAGCTACCATCCTTTCTCTGATCATATTGCAGGCATTGCTCTGCCCTACACTTTTTCTCTGACATGGCTTGTACAAATTTTCCATCCTTTCTGTTGTCAGGTTCTTAATGTTTGCAGTTCTTTTTGATCTTTTTTATTTACTTCTAAAGAAAAGAATCATTTCTGATGTGTTACAAAATCATGTTCACCAACAATAAGTATTACTAATAAGTATAAAATGTGTATGGAACTTTTCAGGCAGCAAAGAATAAAAAAACTCTCCAGGAATAAGTGAAATGTTCTTCTGAATTCAATACTGAATGAATTGTGCTATGAAGAAATATTTTCCTCATCCTATGATATTCTGTTCAATAGTTACACCCTGCTTTCTATTTTATGTACTACTAAGATTTGCGTGGCAAAAGCTGTTTTCTAGTTTTTGTATTATTGAAGCAATTACGTTGTTGTCAGAAAAGATTGCAGTGGGATAAATAATTTGCGATGTACAGAAAATGTTGGTTGGCAGCCTTTACACTTTCTATAAATGTAGATACCATTTCCTCTTTACAGCATTCACTAAGGGTGGTTTATGTATTGCTTAGAATAGAAAAACAGACTATTTTCCGATACTTTAAAAAACTGTTTTCAAAAAACGGAGCAGAAATAGTTTTTGGGGAGTTTATGTGAAGAAAATGCATTTCTTACATATCCAGAAATTATTCACTGCAATTTTACTGATATTAGATCTGGAGAATGTAAGTGTTCAGCAAAAGAAGAGAAATTCTATATTTAGGAGTAACGTATATTATGACTGTCTGAAAATTTATGGAGACTAAATGGCATTTTTTATTGATTTAGGTAAGATGAGGACCATATAGTTTCTGATCATATAATACAATCTGTGGTTCACTCCAATGTCATGCTTTATTCCGTGTGTCTAAAACTAATCATAAGTTTGACAGGTTCATTAGTTTTTTCTATAATGGTCACTGATGTTATAATCATATTTTTTTCTTAGTGTCTTGGCATTATGCTAAATCTATAGGTGTCTGCCTGAGGTCATACTGCTTGGAATAAAAAAAAAAAAAGAGCCAACATCTTTAATGGTCCCTTTAATATTCCCTGATTGAATTAAAGATGCAGCATGGCAAGTTTTCAAAAGGCTATGTGCAATGTCTACAAAACACTGTCTTTCCATGTGCTCAGGGAACATGTTCAATCTGTGTGGTTTTGGGTTGGTTATAATAAAGCAGGACAAGATATTATACTTAACTGCATTGGTCTAAAGTTCAGAGGGAGAACCCTGAATTTTGATACTGGCAAATAAGGGAAAGAAGCCAAACAAGGGAAAGAAGCTCTCATTGTGTTCTCCCTATTTCAGACAGTAAACAGATTTGTTTTTCTGAAATATTCATCCTTAAAAATTTCCACATGACCTAGCTTAAAAAAGAAGTCCAAGAGCCTATTCAAGTTTATGTTGTTTAACTCTTCTGTGGAATAGAGCATTGGTCAGGACACACCATCCAATCACTTAATATCCATTCACTTCTCATTTTGAGTACAAGAAGGATTTTTACATGCTTCCCTAATTCAAAATCTGAGCTCTCTGAAGCTAAGAACCTCAGCCTGGGTAGTTACATTATGATTCCAGGTAGTTCCACATAGTTGAGATTTTGGGACTTCAGCCAGGACCCATGTCTGCAATAATTCCTTTCTGTTGAAAAATCCACAAAAGAGATCTATTAAAAGGAAAACCATGAGGAGTTATCCCTCTGTGTCAACTTGTAGGTAAAGAAAGTGGTGGCATTTTCTTCCTTTCTGGAGATAGCAATAGGGACTATCTTGCAAATCAGGAGACTTCCAGTAAACTGTTTCTATTCCTGAGAATTGCCAAGAGACGTTCTGTTCAGCTCCACCCCTTGGCCTGTTCGCTGTGCATCCCTGGTTCGTAGACTCCACCACATCTGTGGTGGCATTGCTACCTGCAGGGTAAGACTTTCTCTGGAATCTTGTGCTAGAAAGAGAAAAGATGTTCGATTTCCAAAACACCAAAAATGAGATGACTCATTGCTTCCTGGACCAGAAACAAAGAACTTCATCTTCTCCCTTTTCTTCAAGTAATTTCTATTTTCATCTTCTTTCTCAGTGTCTTTGCAGAGGACTTTAAAACAGACTGAAATAAGAAGGGAGGAGAAATGAGCTTGCAGTCAAGCAGTGATCTGGCCTGCAGTGCTGACCTCTGCTCTGGACCTCTTTTTTTTAGTGGTGAAATGACCTTACTTGTCAGGTTGAACTTCTGAAGCCTACTCCTGTAATGTTGATCTGTGGTGGTGTGCTCCCCTGCCTCGCCTTTTGTTTCGTAACTCTGCTCAAGCGACAGCCATCAGTGGTTGTGCTGACAGATGTGCCTGTGTTGTGATGGCCACATCCAGCTCAGTCTGAGGGGGACAATAACAAAGGCCAAGGGCAATCTGAAAATTGTGTACCATGTCCCACCCTGTGCTGGTCAAGCGCCAAAGGGGTATGCAAACACGACTGAGGGTCAACCATTTTACTCCATAAATAGTGGACAGCCCAGGGTCCATTGAGCAATCCTGCATGGCAGGCGGCTGCACACCAGGGTCTCTCCTTGAACAGGGACACTTCTCAAGGCTACTCCTTGAGATTGAGAGATTCCTTGCCACAACGGATTCTTGACTAGTGATTAATAGCATGCTAAACTTTGAAATCTTAGCTAAGTGATACAAAGGATTGATTGTAGATGTATAATCCTTTAGACATAAACTGCTGACTAAGTCTGAGGCTAAGTCTGGATCTATCTGCATCTAGTCTTCTGTGTGAGAGTTTAGAAAGCAAGGGGGTCCTTTCTGAAACTTGTAATTCAGAGGGAGGCTTTTGCTGAAAGTTTTGTCTGACCCTGTCCTCCATGCATAAAGAACCAAGTGTATTTTGCCACTGAATCTTGTTAAATCACTGTTGCATTTACTATAAAACTTTTTTAAACTGCTGCTTTATATCAGTAAATACGTTGTTGCTTTTTATGAGTGAATTGCATTATTCCATCCATGATATACTCTCCTGCACACTTGCTCTCAGTAAAAAACCTACTGTGGCTGTCCCTTCTCCATGGAATAACCCAGATTTATTATACATTAGAGTGTGATGTGGGATAAAGATTTGCCTTATTCCATGAAGGCTGCACCAGCATGTTACCTACACATGGCTTCCTGACCTTAGCACGTGGGTAGAAGCTGGACAAGCAGACTAATAAAGTTCATGGTTTGTTAGATTTAATGTTCAGGAGTGTTGCCATTTTCATGACTATAAATGGCCATTTCCACCAAGAGACATGGCAGCCAGAGTTATCCTGAGCATGTGAGGAGGGGATGTACCTATCATATTGATTGCACATCTGACTTCCCATGGAGGCTAGTGGCATTAATCAAATGAATGTTCAATAAACTCTTGCATGTCAGGATTGTGATTTCATTCTTTGAAAAATCAGTGGAGACAGCCCTAGCTGGATTTTTACAGGTTCTCTCCAGATG